GGCGGCGCCCCTGGGGGCACGGTGCCCAGCGCGCTGCCTTGCCATGGGGCTCGGCCACCTCACCGTGTAGGAGCCGCGGCTCACGGAAGGGGCCTGTGGAGGTCGGCTGTGTGGAGCTCGGTGGATGTCTTGTAGTGCTTGGTTTCACTACAGTGCCACTGCTCAGTGTGTGAATATACAGAAATTAAATATATGGCTGTCAGAGGGGAGCTGCGGAGGAAGGTTGGTGAAGAAGGACGTGGAAGGCATGAGCAAAATGGTCTGACTTCCAGTTCCAGTCTTCATTAGGAAATGGGAAAAGCATTTTGACTTCATTGGGTCAGGTATATTTTTATGGAAAGAACAGGTGATGCAGACTTAACCTCAACTTTGAATTCTTGCCTTTTCTGCTCATAGACGGTTACAAGTATAAAAAAATGCTTGAATCATTTTGTTGTTGTTGCAGACGAAGTGTAATTCAAGTGGACAATCTTCTTGAGAAAAAGAACCAAAAAGTTTCAAGAGACACTGTGAGAGTTAAAGCGGGCAATTTTCTTTAAAAACAAAACCAAAAGAACAAAACTCCCGAAGTTTCAAGAGGTACTGTGAGGGTTAAATGTCAGAATAAGTACTGTTTTTTCAGATCAAGATATATAGATAAAGGTGGTATATTTACTAACTGTTTCCCAAGTTATTGCCTGCTTAAGATATGGCCTGTTTTGCACTGGTATCTGCTGTTTCTTGCTTGCAAGAATGCAGAAATTTCTTGTGCAAAACAGTTCTGGTGCATGTTCTGTCCAAGACAGCCCCAAAATTGCTTCAGAACCTTCCCCCAGCACTTTTATTCCTATGTACATGTGTGCTCTGGGTTAATGTCTTGCCTATATCATGCCGATTGGCGTATTTGTGAAGGCTCTAGTGTGAACGGGTGCTGCGTGCTCTGCAGAGGCAGCTCTCAGCCAAAGCCCTGTGTTGCTGCTGGATGCCCAGCAGCACCCGGGCTGTGCGGGGTGGTGGTGGGCACCTCACTGCATCCCATGCCCCACTGTGAAGACCTGAGGGCAGCAGAGAAATGGGGAGAGACTTCCATGCTGCTGGGGTGCAGCCTGGGAACAGGCCAGGTATCCCGTGTGCTTTAGCATCCTGGTTAGTAGCTGTAGACTGAGTTGGGCAATTGCACTTCTGCCCTCTGTCAAAATACTGAGACCTGCTTGTGAAACATTGAGTCCCTTACCCTGGTTGG